AAGGCTGTGCAGCGCGCCTGCCGCCGCCCTCGCCGGCGGGTTGGACTCGCGCAGCAGCGCAGCGAAGCACAGCCACCGCACGGCGCAGCTCTCGCCCTCGGGCTGCGCCGGCAGCTCGAAGCCGCGCTCTTGCGCCCACAAGCGGATGCCCTCCAGCGCCAGCGAGGCGTGGAAGAGCAGCGAGACGGCCGCGGCGCGAGCGATGTCGGCGGGGTCGCAGCGGGAGAGGGCGCGCACGAGGAGGTCCGTGGGGAGGTCGAGGAGGCGGATGGGCGGCGGCGTGTTTTGCGAGGATCTGGCGGCGGTGGAGGCGGGGGCGAGGCGGCGCGAGCGGCGCCAGCTGCGCGGCGGGGTGGACATCGCGAGAAAAAGAATTTTAAAAAATAAAATATTCTGAGCTTCAAGCCCCCCTCCGAGACTAGAGACAGAACCCAGAGATACATACGTCAAAGGGACTGCCCCCCGCCCCCACTTGCCCTGACTACACAGGATAGCGTGCCCCGATAACGGCGACACACAGCGGGGGACACCACGCAAGGAGGGGGTGCGAAGGCTCATTGGGGTGCTAGGTGGGACCATGAGGGGGGGTGTGGGCGGGGTCCTGTGGGGGTGAAATGTTGCGCGGCGAATTCGAACCTACCCCCTCGCCGCGCCGATCCTCACGCGGAGGGTAAAACCCTGTGGGAGAAACCCCCCCCGCGGTCGGCAGTCTTCAGAGTGGACCCCCCCCTCCCCAGCCTCCCCTGTGCATCTCGCACCCCCCCCCGCTCCCCATTGGTGACTCGCGAAGGACACGGACACTCGGGGTGAGGGGGGGTCCCCCCGGAGGGGGCTCTGGGGCATTGTTGGGTTGATCGCTCGTGCCGATCTCGGGTCGATCTCGGGTCGATCTCGGGTCGATCTCGGGTCGATCTCGGGTCGATCTCGGGTCGATCTCGGGTCGATCTCGGGTCTCGGGTCAGTCTTGGGTCGGTGTCGGAGTGGTCTAGAAAAGAAAAAAATGTGGGGCGAGATGAGGCGAGATGAGGCGAGGTGAGGCGAGGTGAGGGGCGATGAGGCGAGATGAGACGAGGTGAGGCGAGGTGAGGCGAGATGAGGCGAGATGAGGCGAGGTGAGGCGAGATGAGGCGAGAGATGAGGCGAGTGGCGAGATGAGGCGAGATGAGGCGGCGAGATGAGGCGAGATGAGGCGAGATGAGGCGAGGTGAGGCGAGATGAGGCGAGATGAGGCGAGGTGTACCTCGGCGAGATGAGGCGAGGTGAGGCGAGATGAGGCGAGGTGAGGCGAGATGAGGCGAGAGAAAAAAAGAAAAAGAATTTTAGAACCACCCTCGCACAACACTGGGCACAATTTGCGCTCCCTGGTCGATTCAGCACGGCTGACGGCTCGCCGGGCCTGCGCGAGCGCGAGAGTAACCCCGAGAGGGCCAAGATGAGCGGAGCAGTGTATCTATGTGCGTCATGGCACGAAATAAAGAAGTTTAGGACAGCTCGCAAATAGAAAATGAAGAAACACAAAACGTAATAAACGCGTTCGAATACTTCACCGCACAAAGTAATAGGCGAGAATTGTCCTTTGTGTCTCTCTTCTTTATGATTCATACCCGTTTAAGATCTCCAACTCCATTCGTCAAAGCGCGTCATAGCTTTGGGTTTGCAGGGGGGAGGCCAGCCGCATAGAGACTGCACACACTTCACAGGCATGTAACAAGGCATACCGCCGAGGTTGTATGCCCTTCTGCGTGCAGGATAGAGAGCGAGAGGTGTTGATGGGGACCTCTCCGTCTGCGGCTGGCTCGTGAGGACCTCTGCTCGGAAAGGTCCTCTTCGGGTGATCGCGAATTCGCGATGCTTGAGGTCTCACGCCGCGCACGGTAATTGCGCGACTAACTTTCGACCTCTGTCCCTCGTATTCACCCCAGATTTTGCCATATCCCGGCTTACCAGGTACCGCGAGCGGCGACCCGCGCCAAGTTAGCTCCATTTCCGACAAGTTCATCCCGCCCGCGACGCCGATCTTCGGCCGTCCGGAGGCCCAGGACGGGGCCTGGGACCGGCCAGGTGTGGATTCTCCACGGCGCTGCGGTGTATCTGCGCGCCCATGGAGCGTTCAGGGGTGCGCCTGAGACGTGTAGACTGCGGGGCGCCGCGATCGACGATTGTGTCGCTCACTGTCACACCGACGGCACGGTCACAGTGCGTCCACTCCGGCGACCGTGACGCCGTCGGTTCTCGCCTATACCGGCTAGTGTGGAGCTCTCAGTGTGAATGCGTGTTTTACCAGTGATGCTGCACTAGGCGGCCCGTTTTTGGCAAAAAGCAGATACCACATCGCGCGTGGTCATCGAAAAACCGCATGTTCGCCCGTCTGGGACCTCTTCGTACGGCTCCAAAAACCGCTCCTTAACGACGACTACGCGGCCCGGCGGTCGATCTGCGCCTTCTCAGCGGTGGAGGGGATGTAGGCGGTACGTGCGGACTGCGTGGTGCTGCGACGGTTTGACGAGTGCGACTCCCAGCGTCGACTTTTCGACCCCACGGAGCCTTTGCTGCTCCGGGGGGGGGGGTCTGCAGACCACCCGGCCGAACTTCAGAGTGGCGGTGCTCCTCAAATACCGCTCAAACGCCCACGATGGTGTCCCAGTGTTGTGCGAGGGGTGGTAAAATTCTTTTTCGCGGGATAATTTTTCGCGGGATAAAAGGCCGACGAAGCGACGCGTCCCGCTGCGTGAGATGGCGCCCCGCGGAGTCAGCGCCGCGATCAACCGCGCGCCAGCGGCGAGCGGCGCAGCGCGGCCACCATCGGAAAGTTTTCTTTTTCGCGGGATAAATGGCGTTGCTCTGCCTCTCTTGCTTTTCCGTCGCACCGCTCCTCCGATTCGACAACGGCTCTGCTGTCGCCACGCCCACAGCATGGGCCCAGACGCGGAGAGATCAAGTTGCGCAGCTCCTCCAGCGCCATCTTCTCGGCACCTTGCCGCCGCGTGCGCCAACGCTGCGACTTGCGACTCGCACCAACGCCACCACCAGCGGCTCCTCCTGCTCCTCCTTTTACGAGCTCACCTTTGACACGAGCGACGCGCCGTCGACACGAGCGGCTCCTCCTGCTCCTCTCGTTACGAGCAACGGCTCCTCCACGGTGGCCTTCTCCGTCGAGCTGCTGACGCCGTACGCGTGCGATGCCATTTCGCCGACTGCCACGCTCCCGCTCTTCATGACGCAGTGGAACCACCGCGAGTGGGCGCTGCGCGCGCTCTCTCGCGGCTACGCCAGTCTTGTCTACCCCGCCGCCGACACGCGGGACGCCGCGCCCGCGTTTCAGTGCGCGTACAGGCAGACGGCGAGCATGGGCCTCATCCTCGCCCGAGCCTACGTGGCCTCGCGCGCCCTCGACTTTGCCCTCTCGCCGCCAAACGGGACCGCCGGCCTGCCCTCCTTTGCCGCTGGACGCGTCTGTGTCACCGGCCACAGCCGCAACGGCAAGCAGTCGCTGCTGTTCGCCGCCTTTGACGAGCGCGTCGGCGCGGTCGTCGGCTCGAGCTCCCCTTAATGATTAATTAAGTATTGATTACCTCTGAATTACTACTAGGCGCGGTGGTCGGCTCGTCGCCGGGCGCCCCGATCTCTTCTCCGTACGCATACTCGTCGCACAATTTCTATGGAGAGGGGCCCGACGCGGGCACGGCGGGCACCTGGTGGCTGAGCAGCATCAAGGAACCTTCTAGGAACCTTCTTGGAACCTTCTAGGCACGGCGGGCACCTGGTGGCTGAGCAGCATCAAGGAACCTTCTAGGAACCTTCTTGGAACCTTCTAGGCACGGCGGGCACCTGGTGGCTCAGCAGCATCACTCAGTACAGCGACGACCCGGGAAGAATGCCGATGGACGGCCACGGCGTGCTCGCCCTGATTGCGCCGAGGTACTGCGCGATTGCCGACGCGTGGACGGACTTCGAGGGCGACTCCACCTTTGCCGACGAGATGGGCGTGCTGGCCGCGAGTGAGGTCTACCGCCTGCTCAAGGCGCGGTCAGCACCGCGCTGCAGCTGCTGCACCGGCCGGCTTAAATGATCAAGTATTGGCTGCTGATTATGAAGGCGCCTAGTACAGCGTTGCAGCTGCTGCACCGGCCCGGAGGCCGCCGCCAGAAGCACCGACGCCGGGGCGGCGAACGACTGACGTTGAATGAAGAAGCCTCACTTCTGAACTAGGCCACCTCCCGCGCCGAAGCTGGGGCGGCGGATGCATGAGTAGTGACCGCCGCTCAGCTGTTATAGGCCACCACGGGTTCGACAGCGTCGCCTCTTACCTCGACTGGTTTGACCACGCCCTTGGCCGCGCGTGCTCGGCGCCCGCCTTCCCGCCGACATCCCTCCGGGAGCCTTCCGTGAGCCTTCTCGGAACTTTCCTATAGGAACCCGCCTTCCCGCTCGCTTACGCCGACAGCGAGCCAGCGTTTCAACGGCTCGTCTACCTTACGCCGGCCGGCTTCAAATGGGCGGCGTGGTGGCGGATCGTTTTCTTTTGGGACCGCGTTTTCGTTCTCCTACTCGTAGGCCGATCTCAGATGGGCGGTCTGTGGTGCAATTCTTTTTTTGAGCGCGTCTTCTTCCTCCTAGGCCGGCTTCAAATGGGCAGCGTGGCGAGACGCGTTTGCAGCGCCGCCGCCGCCGCCGCCGCCGTCCGCTCCGCTCGAGGAGCGGGTCTCGTGGCTCCTGCAGCTCGACGCGACGCCGACGGCCGTCTCCGCCGGCGCCATCTATGCGGAGGAGTAGCCTCTCTGGGTTCGGGTTCGGTGTCGTATCGGTGACTCAGACCAAGCTGTGAACCGCGCACAGGAGAGCCTCTCTGGCCGGCTCTCGTGGCCGTCGGTGATGCTCGGCCACGTGCCAGCAGAGAGCTCTGTTTTTTCTTTCCCACCTGATTTCTTTTTTCTAGGTGATGCTCGGCCACGTGCCAGCAGAGACGTCGCGTGCGCAGCGCCAGGCTGAACCGCCCCGCCCCCGCCCCCGCCCCGTCGCAAGCGCTGGGGAACCGCCCCGCCCCCGCCCCCGCGTGGCAAGGATTGGGGATCCCGTCATGTCTAGGAGCGCTTGTGGCTAGTGCCGCTTGCCCCAGCCGCCCTCCAGCTGTCCCTCTGCTGCCTTCCCCGCCGCCCTCAGCTGCTGCTGCCTGCCCTGAGGCCTCAGCTGTCCCT